GGGTCCTCCGGAGGACCCGGCCTGTTGTTTTGTACACAGCCATAGCCTTACATGGTGTTTTTGGGGTGGTAATTATGCTAATCTCCTCTCGTGTGCACGAGCAGCTGGATAGAACAGGTGAATTTACGCAGCTCATTTACACAGTTTTCCTGAAGATAGAGGAGTTTGTTGAATCTGACGTGGCATGTTCGTACGAACCTTTCGTACGAACAAAAGTAAGAGAAATTTAGGAGAAGAATACAAACACGTTCTTGCATGAGGCCCATTGATTACGATCAATAAAATGAGTGAGTATCTGAAATTCAGTTATCAACCATAAAAATCTTACAGTTCAAAAGCTGCACACTCTTTCATACATGAGGTCCAAGACTAACCCTAACTATGTTTTTACTTTAGTCTAAAGTCCAGAGTTTTTAATGTCGCCTGTATGTTTTAAGTTGTTTTCAGATGTTTGATACAGTCTGGATGTCTGGATCAGAGTTCATGGAGTTCAGGTTAGTGGACACTGATTCCTGTAAACTGCAGAGAATTTATTCCCTGATGTTGGTGAATTAGGACAGTGTTCTGTGTCTCTCTTTATCTTTCTGTGTAAAACCAGTCTGTGTTGGTCTCATTGTTCAGCTCTGTTCTGTTGGACCTTTGTGTGTCAGACCACTGGTGCTTCTAATTCTCATGAATGTGTTTTTTTACTGTATATAGAGTTATTTTTTTTAATTATTATTTGTGACAGAAGCACTTTTAACTAGAGATGGGACACATAGCCTGGTAAAACCAAACTCTTGTCCTACTCTTAGTTTCGTACAGAGGGTTTGGACTCTCAGCTATTGAAAAGAGATTTATTTATGGAGGCGTGGCCTCTGTTGAAATTTTAAATGATTGGATCTGATTTACCCAATCACTAACGTTTGGCCGCTACGTATGTAGTGCACCAGCTCGACCGTGGAGCTGCGTAGGAAAGGGCCAGACTAGAAGTTTACCAACAATCCAAATTTTTCGAACATCTCCTTACAACCAACAATAAGAAGCAAGATGCAGACGGTTAAGAGTCGTTCCCAGTTTTGTTTTCTTTTTTACTTTTCATAATATCTTGTTGTTTTCCTCCTCAGACAGAGACAATCGCTTCTCCACCTTTTTGTGGGAAACAGCTTCTTAGGGGAAGGGGGGGTGGATTTCTGCTTCACAAAAAAAACATAGTACCACCCACATGATGGAGTTATGTCATCACACAGTTCGTGATGATGTCACTCACTTTTGAACATCTCTGTGAAACAAACAGCTCGTCAAGATTTGGATCCCTTTCAAATGTTAAGAAATGTTTCTAACATACTTTCATTTTTTAGCTCACTTACTGATGTAAGCGTTAGTGTTCCTCCTGGTTAACTAATGCTAATGGCTGCTAACTATTGTTAATGCTGCTGAAGATGGAATTTAAAATTAAAATTCAAAATGTGTTCATTGAAAACAATAAAGATTGTACCTGTGGTCCAGCGGTTTGCATTGCAGCTCAGACACCAGCTGTAACTGAGAGTTTGATGTCTTGAAGGGAAGATTTAGCAGCGTTAGCAGTGTTAGCAGTGTTAGCAGCGTTAGCAGTTGCTATTGTCACAGGATGATGATGTCTTTCTGAAATGCTTAAATGCAAACTTAAACATTTACCTTTAATTTTTTTACATTTAGATTTAGGATTTAATATTTATATAAATTATTTAACATTTAAATTTAACATTTAGTAAAAATGAGCAAAATGCAAGAACAGTGAGCTAAATAACAATAAAAAGTTAATTGAAAATTTTTCATTTTGATTTTACACTCAGAGTGAGCTAATAAAAATGTGTTGAACATTTGGTGCCCGATATCCAAGAATCATTTGTCCCATCTCTACTTTTAACAAAGTTAAATTTTCCAGATGTATTTCTCTAACCTTAACTAAATAAAATCTGTTGTAAAATGCACTGATATTTATTAACCTTTAGATGTACAAACTACCCACACTGCTGTTGAAACTGTTACATTTCTCTTCTACAGAACCACGTTTTAAATATTTTTACAAACTACTTTAAAACAAAGTTTTTCCTTGTTTTGTGTGAGCCTCTCCTGAATCTATTAGAAGCTATGAGAGATTCTGAAATGTAAAGTTTTCTCACTTTAGTCTCAATCTGTGGTGTTTTTATTTTACATTAAGTTTATTTTTGTGTTGGCACTAGGTAAACAGGTGACAGGTGCGCCTCCTACCAGTCGGCGGATCTCTCTTTCACAGTCTCTCTTGGTCCTGTTGAGCTCCTCCTGGTGCTGGTGATGAGCTGATCTGAGCTCGGCTGCTCGGGCCTGGCAGGCCTGCTGAGCTGATGCTAGAGCCTCCTCTGCGTTCTTCTTTGCTCCTCGCAGATCCTGAACCTCTTGCTGGAGGCGGCAACGCTCTGCCTCCCAGCTCCTCCTGGCCTCCTCGACCTCAGCCATCAGGGCGGTCCTCACCTGAGCAGCCAAAGGACTGAAAGTTAGTCTGAACAAGTTGACACTCAGCCTTACGGTACAGACATTCATGGTACGTTGTGACTTTTGAAGCTGAGCAGGGACAACAGATCTTGACCAGAACTGGTCTTATGGAACAGGTTTGAGTAAAATTAGGATGAGTCCAAAATAAAAACAATCATCACAGACAGATGAAGGGACAAGCTTTGTCTGGTGAAGTGTCTCATTATTTAGATGGATGGATGGATGGATGGATGGATGGATGGATGGAAGAATGGATGGATGGATGGTTGGATGGATGGATGGAAGAATGGTTGGATGGATGGATGGATGGAAGAATGGATGGATGGATGGTTGGATGGATGGATGGAAGAATGGTTGGATGGATGGATGGATGGAAGAATGGATGGATGGATGAATGGATGGATGGATGGATGGATGGAAGAATGGTTGGATGGATGGA